TTAACTGCAAATTTTCAAGATATACTATGTTTCAAGTGAATATGTGAATATGGACTATATACATATTTCTTATTCAAAATTCGATATTCAAAATTTACTTATAAGCATAACCTTAAAATCTCGAAAAATCTACTTTCAGTTCCTTCGAAGACCGCGGGTCTATTAAACAAGCAATAAGTCTGATATAAATATCCGACAAAGGCATCACAAAAAAGCCGAATTATTAAAAGGAAGCTCAGGAAAAAGGCATGAGCGAGACCTTGAAATGCCTTTGTTACTTCCGTCCCGCCTTATCTAGAACTCATCTCAGATCTAGCAGCTTCGCAGTTAATGTACTAGATGAAGTATCAAAATTCTTTAAGAAATTTCACTTGAAAAGCTGGCATGTCACAGTACCATTAAGTCTTTCTATTGCGTGACAGCCAGTAAGTATAACCTAATCTAATTTTTAAAAATCTGTAATAATGTTTCAATATAAATTTTATGTTCTTCAACTCACCGCATCGATTAGCTGCTGGCCGTAATGGCAAATTAAATAAATTTGAAACAGCGATGAAAAGAGAAAAAGAAACAACTTAACCATATAGTCCGGTTCGGCGTCCATAGTCATTTGAAAGCCGACAAAGCAAATTACAAATGATGAAGTCATAAAATTGACTAAAAGCGGCACACCCAATACCTCATTCATAATGTCCGACAAACTAGAAATCAGTAAAATTACGAAAACCTGAATATATTGGTAATAACTAGCGTCACACTTACCTCAAGACATTGGCGTGATATTCAAYTATGTCGCAGAGGAACCTCATATCCTTGCGGTATAACTCGCTCTCCTTCACATCACGTACCGCGCCTTTCAAAGCTTGTGGCTGATACTCAGTGATCCGCTGTGCAACATACTCATAATGCATAATAATTTGCGTCGCCATGGCACATAACACCAAATCACTAGCGATCTGTCCCGAAGCCGAATGATAGCCAGCGATGCTTTGCGAAGTGTAGTAAAGATAGAAAGTCCAATGATCATGCCAATTCCAAGGAATATAGCTCTCATAGGGCAGCGTTTTGTTGACGCTTCGCATRTGCAACCAACAATCGTAGATCTGCCGTTGCATATACGGATAGAGATTGTAGGTCCAAATCAGTATCATGAAGATCATTGCAAAGGCGCTCATTACAATCGTACATTGACGCAAGTGGCTTCGCAAGTTCATCATTTTCTGCTGCGGCTCCGTGCGTGGAAAGATGGCGTTCATGAGCTGCAGGAAGCGTGTCATCTCTGCTTTCTTACGCCACATAAAGTACATTTTTATGGAGCCGACGAGCACAAAACCGGCATATGAGAGCGTCATGGTTGCCTGTATGAAGTTCTTAGTGAACATTAGAACTGCAAAGATCAACTCCGAAAGTAGCCAGACATTAACATTAAACAAGCTGATGTAGAAGACTGCACTCTGTAGCGAACCGCCATTTGTGTTCCATAGATCAATGCCAACGCTGCGATAAAAGAAGCTGGGTATACGCAAGAAGGCTTCGAAGCGTATAATGTTTGACATATTTGAGAAGGCTCCCGTTAGAATACTAAGAGTATGAAAAAAACAACAAATTAATTAATGAAAATTGTTTTTGAAAATAATTTCTTAAATTAAAATATAATAATTTTGTAGCTTTGGGCCTATGCGATTTGTCATAAAGCAGGCAGATTATTATCTTTGATAACAGTCCACTAAATGACGAGAGGTGTGAATCGAAAACAGAACTAATATAAATAAAACAGAATGGTATAATCATCTATCTTGCGATGATTTCACGGTGAAACGGTTGTCTTAATACTCTGGTGCTAAGATGATCAGAGTCCAAACTAGATATGGAAATATTCTTCTTTATTGGCGTAGACACCGCTTACGCGATTATAGCCAAGTTTACCAYAGCGCGCCAGTCGCTCTACCTTTCCGTTGCTTGGCGCCAATTGGAAATACCACACGAAGCCTAGTCCGACTCCACCTGGTCTTTCCAACGTAGTGAAGGTCATCCTCTTCCTCTGCTCCCCCCGGCGGGTACTGTGTCGAATGCTCTCCGAGCTGAAGTGTTATCATCCATTCGGACAACGTAACCTAGCCAGCGTAGCCGGTGTCTTTTTATTTGCTGAACTATGTCAATGTCGTTKTATATCTCGTACAGCTCATCATTCCATCGACGGCGGTATTCGTCGCAAAGTACCATAAATTTTCAGCAGAAACTTTCTCTCGAAAACTCGTAACGTCRACTCATCAGMTGTTGTGATCGTCTATGCCTCTGACGTCTGCAGGACGGGAATAATGAGTGACTTATAGAATTTGGTTTTTGTTCATCGAAARAGGACKTGACTTCTCAATTGCCTACTCAGTCTGAAGTAAMATGTGCTGGCAAGAGTTGTTCTGCGTTGGATTTACATGCTAGCATTGTTGTTACTGTTAATACAGCAGCTATTTCGTTTTGTCCTCGTTCACTACCAGACCCATTTGCTTCACTACCTTATCCAGTCTGTAGAAGGCAGAACTAACGTCGCGGATGTTGAGGCCAATGATATCAATATCATCAGCGCTCTTCTAGATTTGGCGCATGGTGTATATCTGCTCAGTTGTTGATTTTCCAATCCTGAAACCACACTGATAATATCCAGTCAATTAGTATACGGTAAGCTTCGGTCTTTCACACAATACGCTCGATAGAACCTCATATGCGATGTTGAGGATTCCTATCCCACGGTAGTTGACGCTGATTGTGGGGTCTCCYTTTTTGAGGATTGGTCAGAGTACACTTAAATTCCAATCGTCGGACATGCTTTAGTCCGACCATATTCAACAAAGAAGCTGATGCATGCTCCTTATCAGTTCTTCGCCTGCCTTTTCGAATAGCTCGGCTGGCAATCCATCGGAAACCGCCGCTTTAAAATRCTACACACGGATAATTGTTATTCGCAATTCTTCATCGTCGTGCAATGGAACGTCTGCTCTATCGACTGGGGAATTGGGTTCGCCATTTCCTGTTGTTATGCTTTCACTTCAGCAGGCGGGAGACGTGTGCYCTCCATAATTTTCCAGGTAATGAAAGCTCCTCCAAAAAACACATGGACGCTACAAAAGTAGACCGAAGGGAACAGCAAACGACGTCRTCTTTTTTTCCGCCCTTTTGACATTTCTCTTCAGTAAGGTTTGCCATTTCATTATGAAACACAGTACGATTCAACAACRAGTCGAAATTATTARAATTTACTACCGAAATTCGCAGTCASTGGACACTTAGCTTTAAGAGCGCTACGTCGAATTTACGGTGGTCATAATCGCCCTGTCAGATCACAGAGTATAAAATATTTCCGTGCYAGTGAGACAAAGAAGTCTCAGGAGTGTCGAAAATATTGCTGCAGCTAGCGCATCAATTGAAGAAGACACAAATTAGTCTTTCAYACTTTRTTCTCAAGCGTTGGACACATCTGTGACGTCGTTGTGGCATTTWGCGAAAATATCTTGGCCTACGTCCCTACGAAATCAAATTGATGGGTCAGCGGCGAATTGGATAATATGAACTCGAACAATATTTGGTGCCAACAGGATGGCGCCACAATCCACAAAGCGAATGTCACAAGCGATTTATTGAAAACCAAGTTTGGTGAACGTATTATCTCACRAATTGCCCCAGTMAATTGGCCGCCTCGATTRTGCCATATGACGCCGTTAGACTATATCCTGTGGAGCTACGTCAAGTCTATGATCTATRCCAACAAGAAAGCCACAATTGATGAAYTTCGTATGAATATCGAACTTGAAATCGACCGATTTATGCTTGAAAACCTTCAAAAATTGGGTTCACCGTCTGAACRTTTGCCAGTGTGCCTGTGGTGGCCAAGCAAAAGAAGTCAAGTTCCATACATAAYGGCATCGAATGTACTTTCACAGAAATAAGGAAATTCATTGATAACGAAAACAGGTTTTGAAGAATACAGCTGACTGAAATTCTCATACGGAAAATTTTTTAATTTGACCAGATAWCGTCASAATAGATTACCACTTGAGGCACTACTACAATTCTCGAAGAGTTTGTTCAGATCGGACTGTCATAGTATGCAGCAGTCATACAAAGTGACCGCTTTAACTCTGGTTCTCGTATGGAACACTTGTTTTATTGACAAAAGAATCGTCACAAAATTAATGAAAGATGAAAGCAACGCAATAACCTTCGAACAAAATATTTAGATCGGACTGTTGTGGCATTTAAAATGGCCGATCAAWCTTTTATATCCTTTTATGCTATCATTATGCATTTTTGCACCTGTGTTAGGTTTGCTGCAACCAAAGTTAACGTTTTTCCGTTTTTCACTTGAATCTGTACACAAAGCTTTTATTCAATAAGCCTCCTGTCTTACGTACAAAATTAGCTTCATTAAAGCAATCACTAATCATAACTCAAATAACTTTATATTGACTTAGTATGTGCCATACTTCACTATTCTAAACCACAAATGTTTCAATCAAAATCACTTGATTAAATTAGTCAACGCTTTGAGTTAAGCCACAAGAATGCATTATAACTTGACTTGCGCTCATAGCTTTTATAGCTTAACAAAATCCAATTTATGCCCAGCAACAACAACACAGCGAAATTCAAAGTCTTTAGAGCTTTAAATGTTAACATTTAATATTCAACCGAAAATTATATACACACAGCTCATTACCGTATTTCATTGATCAGTGAGTGTGTAGTACATGCCACATTTTGATGCCTGTCACATAGGTGCGTGTACGTGTATCCATGTGCTGCTGTAAATATRTGCTTGCAACAAAATTTAATGTAAACATTCATTAGATCGAGCTAATAATATACAATTATATGGTCATTATACAAAGGACCACACACAGTGCCACACATAAATCTACGGCAAGCACAAAGGTAAGCCTAGGCTGCTTATGATTGAATTAATTTAATAAATTTAACAAATACCCTCAAGGAAATTCACTGCACCAAGCAGGATTTGTGGACAAAGAAATCTATCTTAGGAGGAGCTAAAAGACTCACCACAAGATGAAATATCTTCAAATTAAACAGGAAACTCAATTAAATACAGGTCTGCACTTATGTACTTTGTGCACAAAATTCAACTTAAAAGAAAAACCGTCTTCACGACCTTATTGCTTGGCACTGACTGACAATTCGTAAAAACGGCAATTGTTATATAAACCTGTTTGCCAAATAGGCACATGTATAAAAAAGTAATAATAACAGCACACCAATGCTTACAGTGTAACCCGGAAATTGTAAATGCAATAACGCAGAATATTTGATTATGCATCAATAATAATATTGGCGCCTTCAATGTAATCCACACCAGTTGTAATACACTAATACCAACGACTTTTCCATTCCTCGAAACACTTTTCATAAGCATTTCTTTGGATGGCCTTCACTGAATTTTGTTTTATCTCTTTGATCGCCTGAAAGCGGATTTCAAGGAGCCGCAAATTTCAGTTTGAGGAACAAGAAAACATCACACGCAGTCAGAGCTGGTGAATAGGGTAGTTG